ACCCAAGATGTGGCACAACGTCGGGCTGACCCTGCTGGTGTTCGTGGCCACGCTGCTGATCGTGCTGCTGCTGATGGTGTGCGGTGAGTGGGGCATCGCCGCGGGGCGGTTACACCGCGCGGTACGCGCGCCGGCTCCACTCGTCTGGCCGTCTTGCTGGTTTCGTGTGTTGAACAAGGGGGAAGAAAAGGGCTCGGGTGGGCAAGCGTTTTAAAATCAATTGTCCGCTTTCTTCTGGGAATGAACTCAGGAAATGTGCCCCTGACCCGCGGCAGGCCCGCCGGCATCCTGGAGAGGCTAGAACGGGATCCAGGGCTGGGCATTTGACTCGGGGTTAGACCAGATCTTGCTTCACCCGGCAGCGTCTTGATTGCCGTTCTTACCACAGTCTGCCCAGATTTTAACCTTGGCCTGTATTCGAAGGTGAAGTGATTGGTTTCTCCTTTTTCCTTTTCACACGTTCTGACTCGGAGGATAATGAGAGGTTTCATTACCTTCATTTAATCAGGGAGAGGGACAGAGCTGGGTTTGAAGCACATGGGAAATTGCTTGTTTATTTCGAGTTCGGGCTTAAACTCAGTATGAAACAGAAATGTTGAGACGAGGCAGAACTTAAAAAACACCGGCTATATTAAACTTCCAGGGTCAGGTAACCTAACTCTTAGTTCTGTAATAATGCTGCTAGTTTGTTTGCTGAATTTTTTTCTTTTTCCTTCTTGGAATGAGAGGACTACTTTCTTAAGGTATTAGCGCAATTGTAGATCTTGATTCTTTTTTTTAATACACAGTAACGGATAACCACAGGTCTCTTAGCAAAGTGGCTGAGCAATTGTGAAAATTTAAGAAGTATTTAGAACCAGATGGTTCAGTTTATTTTTTTTAACAATTAACAATATTGAAGTATAGTTTCAGGTTGATGCAATAATTGGCCAGAATTCAAAATGCTATAGGACTTACTCATGATTAATGTACTAAATGCTCAGTATCAGCCATGTTTGGAGAAGATATTTGTGCATATGCATATATATATATATATATATATATACGCATATAGTGTTTATATATGTGTATGTATATTTTAAATTTTCTTTCTTTTACTAACGCACTAGAGTTAAAGCTTCTAACTTACAGCCTTTCTTTTCTGATGATAAAACGATTGGAAAGCCTTTCTCAGTTTCCTGCTTGTGTTGTCAGGATTTGGGGCTAATTGTAGATGTTTAAGATCCTTGAAGTAAGGAAAACCAGATCTTTGTGTTTATTTGGATGTGAGGAAGGAGGCAAACATATGCTTTCTTTTCTAATTTGAAGATGCAGCCCACCTGAGATGGGTCTGTGGCTTGTCAACCATACAACACTGCCAAACTTGCCTTTGGGGCATCAGAATGCCTAATTGCTGCATACATCAGACTTGCTCTCTCAGCTCAGACGCTATTTGACTTAAATGTTACTCACTTTTCTAAAAGTATCCTGCCTTAGGTTTCAGAAAACATTATGAAAGGAGAGGAGAGGAGAGGTGTGATATTTAAAATAGTGCCTTATTTTGATTGGAAGGGTCAAGACTAATAGTTCTGAGAAGTGATCCAAGCACTTCTTTGTCGAGCTTATGATGGGGTAGCTTCATCTTTTACTAGGAGGGGCCCAGGGCTTGGGGGGAGAAGGATCCCATCAGATTTGAGGGAGAAACCAGGACATTGTATTAGTTTGCTAGATCTGCCGTAACAATATACCACAGACATTAACAACAGAAATTAATTTTCTTGCAGTCTGGAGGTTAGAAGTTCGAGATCGTGGTGCCAGCAAGGCTGATTTCTTCTAAAACCTCTCTCCTTGGCTTGTAGATGACCGTCTTCACGTGGTTTTTCATCTGTGTGTGTGTCTGTGACCTAATCTTACATAATAAGGACACCAGTCATATTGGATTAGGGCCTCACCCTTACGAATTGATTTAACCTTAAATAACCCTTTATAGGCCTTGTCTCCAGATACAGTCATGTTGGGGGTTAGAAATCTAAGACACAGGTCTGCCCAAGAAACTCATAGCCTAGTTTATTTTTAGAGCTAACCAGCTTGTTCACATAATGAGTTCCTATTTTCAACTTTCAGTTTCCTAAGGAGATCTTCTTCTCTTGTCTGTACTGATTGTACTTTCTCATCTTTCATTCGTTCTAAAATATTTCCCACTATTCACTGAAGCTGCCCTTGTGAAGGTCAGTAACAAATGGCCTCTATTCCCAAGTCCATGGCCACTTATGAGTTCTAATCATACTTACCCTCATGCTCATTCTGTACAGGTGAGCATTTCTTCCGTGAAGCATTTCTCTTAGCTTTTGTGCACTAGACTTTCATGGTGTTCTTCCTACTGTAGTGGCTAATTGTCTTTTCCTGGTTTCTCTTCTCCGAGAATTTAACTTTTTTTAAATCATAAGCTATGCTAGGAAATAAATTTTACATTATTCACAGTAGGTTTATAAGTATAAATTACATATATCAGTCAGTTTATATATGCATGTCTCTACCTGTTACCAGTCATCTTGGAAGTAAACGTTTTACAGACAAGTACTTCTTGAGGTGCATGCTGCTTTCTATTATATTTCTATAATAAATTATGTTATAATATAAATATATATTTCTATTTTCCCCTTGCTTCTGGGCTTTCCCTGTGGTATCTTATCCAGTCCTAAAGATTTAAATAATAACCAACTATTGACTAAAATTGAAATCTCCAGATCTCACGCCTCTCCTGACCCCAGCTCATGCATCAGACATTTTTTTTCTCCATATCCCTACTTGGAGATCTAATAACCATCTCAAACTAAACACCTTTAACACAGAACTCTTGATTTCTACCACCTGTTTCTCCCTCCCGCCTCAGCTTTTATCAGCACCCAAGGATGTGGGTGTCATCCTTGGTTTTGCCCTTTCCTTTGCCTCCTCTTTTAAATATCAACTCCATCTAGAAGTCTCTTCAGTTTTGTCTCAGTTTTTTTCTTTCAGTTTAATCGAGATGTAATTGACATACAGCACTGTATAAATATAAGGTGTACAGCATACACACTTACATACGTCATGAAATGATTATCATAGTAAATTTAGTGAACATCCATCATCTCATATAGACAAAATTAAAGAAATAGAAAAAACATTTTTTCTTGTGACGAGAACTCTCAGGATTTACTCTCTTAATGTCTTTCATGTATAAGATACAGTAGTGTTAATTGTATTTGTCATGTTGTACGTTATATCCCTAGGTTCTTACAACTGAAAGGCTGTACCTTTTGACCACCTTCATCCAACCCCCCCACCTCACCCCATAACCAAAAATCTGATCTCCTTTTCTGTGAGTGTATTTTTGAACTGTAATGGATCTGCAACACCATTCGTTCCTATTACAGGATATAGTGATTTGATATTTCTATACATTTCAAAAAGATCACCACGATAAGTCTAGTTACATCTGTCACCATACAAAGATAGTACATAATTATTGACTTTATTCCTCACACTAAATTTCATACCTGTGACTCACTCATTTCGCAGCTGGAAGTTTGTACCTCTTAATCTCCCTCACCTATTTCTTTCCTCCCTCCACCCCCTCCGCATGGCAACCACCTGTTTGTTCTCTGTATCTCTGACTCTGTTTCTGTTTAGTTACGTTTGTTTTGTTTTTTAGATTCCACATACAAGTGAAATCATACAGCATTTTTCTTTCTCTGTCTGACTTAATTGCATGTAGCTTTATACCCTCTAGATCCATCCAAGTTGTTGCAGATGGCAAGATTTCATTCTCTTTTGTAAGTATAAAGTAATATTCCATTGTGCGTATATACCTCCATTTATATATCCATTCATTTCCATTTGCATGGAATACCTTTTCCATCTCCTCACCTTCAGTCTGTGCTTGTCAATCTTGCCCGCGGTGAGTTGAGTCTGCGGAGGTGGAACCCATGGATATGAACCCATGGATGCGGAGGGCTGACTGTATTGTACGTGTTTGTTTCCCCCAGTTAGAGTGTAAGTTTAGTGCAGGCAGGGACCTTCTTTGGCTTGTTCTCTGCTCTATTCCTGGATCCTAGAGAGTAGTGCCTGGCATGTAGAAGGCCCTCGTATTTGAAGAAGGAACAAAGATTCTTCAATATAGATTATTACATTCCCATTACAAATACAGTCTAAAGTGTGGTACAAACCAGTGTTGTCTCAGGATGGATAACCCTTGTATTACTCAATGACATATGCTTAGCGAACTCTAATGTTCAGCTGCTATAGTGGAGATACGAGTTTCCAAAAGTTAATAAAGCTTAATCCCTGCTCTTGAGGGCTGTGTGCTGCAGTGTGGAAGATGCTCACACAAGGTACCTAGTAAAACCTAGGCCTCTGAGCTCCGGTTTCACTTATAAGGCTCTGCTCCTTTCCCTGGTTGTTTCATAGAGCTCAGAATCCTTCCCCAAAACAACTCCTTGTTTTCAGTGTGTGCACAGCACCCAAGGTATTTTACCTTCCTCCTTCATTCCCAGTCATTTGGCCATAGGTCATACACCCATTCATTCTCCAAGTATTTGAGCATCTCTTGTAAACGTCATTCTGAGACACAAAGATAACCAAAGCCTGGTTCTATCACTAAATCACAAATTCTGGAAGAGGATACAACTTGGTTACTACTTTCAACAAGTGGCAAGAGTCTTAAGAAATGGTCTTTTACATCAACTTGGGTGATACCCTGATATCACCTTCCTTTCAAGCAGAAACAAGCCTTTTCTTTTCCAAGAGCAGTCAGCAGTCACTGAGTTCATATCCATGGGATAATAAAAATATATTTTTTATTTGGTCTTTGGGCCTCTGGTGCACAGCTCCCCAAACCCTTGGCATTTCCTGATCTTTTGTTGTTGTAGCAAGCCCCTTGGGACCAAGCCCGAGTCTGTGCCAATGAAGCGCTCAGGGTGGGGCCCCTAAATAGTTTCGGGATAGGGGATGGTCATCAAAAGGACCAAACATATGATTAAAGGGTGGGAAGTTTCAGCTCCACCCCTTGACCTTCTGGGAGGGGAGGGGGCCTGGAGACTGGGTTATAAAAACTCTTCTAGGTGAG